TGTCCAAAATAGTTAAACAAAAGCTGACACGCATGCCAAATAAACAAACAGGAACGCAACCCCGAAAACTTAATGTTGACCTCCATCATCCTCGCCGTCACTTTCTTCCTCAGGATTATCCTCGGGAGGATAAAATATCTGCATGTCGACCACCTGGTTAAAGGGCCCAACACCTTCGACCACAAGCTTGACCCCTCTGTTGATGATCTTGAGTTGCTTCATGGTAGTGTTGAAGTCATAATTAAGGGTGTCCACGACATCCTGCTCGAGCACACAATTTCGACCAATCAGGTCTCGCTTGGTCACAAAGGGCCTTCTCGCGTTGTTCTCTTCCTCAGTAGGTGCCACAATTTCTTCCATCTCCTTCACTCGAGCAGCCACTCGCTCGTTTTCCTTGGTTGCAACCTCCAGTTGAGGCTTGATCTCGTTTAAATCCTCGAGAAGCTGGACCTACGCTTCATGCTTTGTCTCATGATTGAGAATACCATCCTTCAGCTTTTCATTAATCCCCTTTAACTTTTGGATTCGAGCATAAGATTTATCCAGGGCGGCTTGGGAGCCCACAACTTCATCATTCAGTGTCAAAATGGTTTCGAGAACCCTCATCACGACGACCACATCTTCTGACAAATTCTTCCGCCAGGTTTCTTTGTCCCCAGACAGAACGACCTCACTCTCCTCTTTATGGAGACCTAAGGAACTCTCCCAACTGAAGATACCTCGGTTGAGATAAGATGGCGGGCAACACGAAAACCGCCCCGATACTCTTGTCCCCGTCGACAGTCGCCACGTGCTCGGTGTCTTTCACGCGCTTCCTTTTTGCCGATTGTTTGGGAGGGGGAGCCTGGGCCCTAGAGGGGAAGATGAACCGCTTGGATGGTAGAAGTTTTAGCTTGTTCCTGAAGTTGGGAAACCCGAGTTTTGGGCACCAAGTGTGATAAATTCTTGGACCTCAACTTGAGAAAACATTCAGAGGGAGTCACCATCTGGCCTGCAATCAAAAGAAACTGCTAGTTTACGAGACAAAAGTACGGACATGAAATTACAGGCACGTCCCCTACCTATAAGTCTCAAAGCCTACTCATCATAGGAACACTCAAGGAGCGCTTTCGTGTTAATCAATCGGGAACAAAGAGATGCTCCCCTTTATCATCAAATAAGAAGTTATTGTCTACATCCACACACTTTGCCGGGGAGAAGCTATTGACATAAGCCGCTAGCTTGTCGTAAGAGAGCTTATCCTGGACATCTAAGTCCTCGCGCTTCACCGTATAATACCCGGGCTTTTACTCAAAATGTTTCCATTGCCACTCAAGAGAAAACTTCGCCGTACGTCGAGCCACAATCTGACCATACTCGACCTCTTCCGAGCGGTTGTACAAAAAATCCACGGTCGCATCAGTAAGAGGATTCACGACGAAATGCCTTTTTTTTAAAGTTGCCCACAGATTCAAGGTACGACGGAAAGAGTTTTCCGAACTATTTGAATGACATCCAGGCTCATCGCCTTCCAATGGTATGCTGTTGTAGGTGAAAGATACAAAAAAAGAGGGTCATAGTGGCACCGATCTTGAGATATTGGCATACTAGCTCGAACGCCCGCATAAACGCGAGCGCATTCAGATGAAGCTCGGAGGGTGCTAGTTGCAACCATTGGAAGACTCCCACTTAGAAATCGTTGAAGGGAAAATGCATCCCCGCTTCTTTAAAGGCGAAATCATACAAAGGGAAGCGTTTTCCCCAGAATGACGAGCATATCCTCCGACTTCGATAAGGGATTTGAAGCAGCTAGTTGGCAGGGGGCACCCTTTGCTCGGTCCTCGGGGACATTCAACGCATCAAAAGCGTTCTTCGAAAAAAACGACCTTTTACTCTAGGGCTCGGACGTGACCTAAGCCAAAGGATTGTCTGTGACCATAACATCACCCTCATTGGTATTAGGCACGATGTCTTCCTCGACTGATTGCACCATCGTACCTAAAAAGCAGGGGAAAACAATGAATTCGATATCATCAAATTCACCATTCCACCGCGAATCAAGTGAAAGGACAATGAATGCATCGAGGAATGGTCCTCGACCCAAGCCCTCGACAACAAATGCCAAAGAGGTCGATACCCTACGCGGGGATATTTTGTTGAACGGGCATGTTGCCCAAATCCTCCCCACTATATGGGGGGACGACCCCGTGCAAGTCAGAACGAAATTCTGGAGCCATGAACCTTCATCCATATTCATGAACCCAGATGAACATCCATGGAGGTTTATTCCAGAACCCATGAATTTGCATCCAGAGGTTCATCCGTTCATGGCAAAACCCAAGTGTTTAATATAAAAATCTAAGAAAAAACACGATCAAAAGGGAAATGGAAGGATAGAGAGCTTGGAAATATCAAAGTAAATCTCTGATTCCCCTTTTTTATAGATAACCCCCACCTCACGAGGTAGCATGCGAAAAATCATCATTACTTGGGCTTTTAGATTGCCCTATATAATGATGACACCCCAAACAGCTGCCAGGTGGGGTTCGCGAGAGGACACATCGCCCACAACAATCTCACGTAAAACCATGCGCCTGCGACATTCCACTCTCGTTCGCGGATAAACGCTCGACATCATTTACAACGCCTCATGAACGAGCACCTCGTAGACGCGCGTTTGGGGAGACTCATCAACTCCTTACGAGCGAAAATTACTATCGGGCACCTCATCGATATGATTAGGGGGCGAACTTAACCTATGAAACTCTCCCGAAGCTGACTCAGGCACATCACGCGTAAATCTCTGAGTCCTCCTTAACATGAGCCACATAACCTTCCCTGGTGGTAGTTAACAGTTTCCCCTATCGGTTAGATCCTTCCCAGCACTCGAGCTAGTTTAAAGTCATCACCCTTTCGCCTAAGGACAATAACTTGGGGGGCTTCTATTCTGGATTGGGTTGACACTTTCCCCACTGTTAGGGAAGGCCCAATCCATTGTCTTTGTTGTGGCCCAATAGCCTTGGACCCAAGATTGATAGTCGTTGGGGATTTCCCCCACACGCCCATTAGAGAACGTGTCTCTAGTTATCATCAACCACCACCTGCCCTCCGAGAATAACAAATCCACTGTCCCTACATTCTCAGGGCGCTTCACCAGGGAGGGGGCCACACATTGGACCTCATTACTCGCATAAACCCTTGCAGTCAATGTTATTGGGCCCAAATTACTTGACCCATTACATGGATCTTGGCTCAGCGCTGTGGGCTATAAATACATTCTCACTCGAGATGGTCAAATATCCATTCATTCATTCGTTCATTCTACCTCACTTACTTTACTTGTTCTCGCTCTAAACCTCACTTTAGCATTAGAGTGTCTTACAGTATCCCTCGCTTCACATTCAACTGCTGCTCAATTTGAAACTCGCGGGCCTTGACGATCTCTTCTGATCAGATACGATCAATAACATGTAACAAAAACATTAAATGAAAAAGTGATGAGAGAAAGTCAACAATAAAACAAATGTCGAAGAAGTAGAAAGCAAAAACAGAATATAATATAGAAGCAAAATGAATGAAATGTTATGAAGGCATCTATATAGAAGATTTGTGAACCAACATAGCAAAATGGGTATTTGGAATAGGGGTGTTCGCGGTGCGGTTTGGGCGGTTTTGAAGCAAAAAATCACCCGAACCGCAAGAGAAAAAAATGTGCGGTTTGCTTTGGTTCGGTTGGTTTTTAAAAATAAAACCGAACCAAACCAAACCAAACTAATGCGGTTTGGATTGGTTCGGTTGGTGCGGTTTTTTACAAAAAAAATATTTAGCCATACATACACATATAGAGAAAAATATAATTTTGTGTTTAATCGTTCATACATTTCCATAAAAAATTTCTAATTGTCAAAATAAGTTCATAATTTGTTACATAAAATTGTGTATTATAATTTTATCTAAATCTAAAGAATGATATACATAAGATTGCATTCCTAAATAAATATTATACAAAGAATACGATAAAATATATTTTATGAGAATAGTATTTATAAATGAATAATATTTCATTTTTTATGATTTGTAAATTAAAATACATATCATACAAAAAATATGATAAAATATACACATAATACATGTTGATTTCTCTAAAGAATTATAGAAATATATTGGTTAATAAGATTTAATAACATAATGCAGTTTAGTTCGGTTTGGTTCGGTTTACAAAATACAAACCGCAAACCAAACCAAACCACGCGGTTCCACTAGAAAATGACCCAAACACATCCGAATCAAATGCAGTTTTTTACAGTTTCGATTCGGTTCGGTTCGATTTTGCGGTTTTCTATTGGACCGATTTGATTTTGAACACCCCTAATTTGAAACACTTAGTTTTTCTATACCATAGATTTTAGAGATTAATTAGATATTTGAGTAAATGAGGAGTTTATTTACTCAAATGAACAAAATAAATAAATAAATAAAAAATAAAATAAAAATAAAGTAGTGTTCGAGGGTTTTCTACTTCTATAGTCTATTAGTTCATTTTGGCGGAAAACCTGAGCAGCGTGTAGTCTCATTCTTAACACTACACTCATTTCTCCATAACCGATCTTCCTTTTCTGTGCCCTAACTCTCCTTCCGCCGCCGCTTCGAACATTCTCTTCCCTAATTCAGGTAACTTCCGTTCTTCTTCCCGATCCGGTTTCGTTTACCGTATCTCCACCTTTGTATCGTGATTTAGGGTTTTAGTTTTCGTTCATTATCGATATGTGTTCGTTTCGTGCCTTTGTTATGCTTGAAAAAAAAATGCTTGAATCTGGCGTGGTTTGTTAAAGAACACTATACTGTTGCGGCGGTGTTTTGAGTTTGAATATGGATTTATATTTGATTGTGTTTTGTGAAATTTGTGAAATGCGCAGTGAAGCTTGAATTTCTATAGGTATATCTTTGGAAGGATTTACTCTGCTGCTGGATTTGGTTTTTGTTTTGGAAAAATCTCGGGAAATTTTTAAACCCTAGAAATCATGCAGTCATCAGTTCTGGTTCTCAGTAAGTTCTCTCTCTGCGTTTGGAATTTTGTTTATCTCCTTGACTAATTTTAGTGTTTTTGTTGCTTTTCTGATTATTGGAACTGATTTCATGTTTAGTTTGAGTTTCTTTCTTTAGTTCATTTGGTAATCAATTAATTTCCTAATTTTTGTTTGATTACTCGAGGGCCGTTTACTTTTGGTGTTTCATGTAGAGAATGCGATATGAAAGTTTTGAATATGATTTCACTTTTGGTGTTTCATGTTACTATATTATGTAAAATTTATGTTCTCCCTGTCACGATTAAAAAGGAAAACCTATAACCAAATGTAATTTCAGTCGTCCACGAACAAGTAATAATTGAGAATGTTGTTAAAGAATAAACAATCTCTTAACATTCTCACTTTTTAACCTCTGATGAATCTTAATATTCACTTTCTTTTGTACATTTAAGCACTTTTTTTTAATATGGAGTGACTCATTAAATCCATGCTGTAAATGTGCAGAGGACTCTTTGAAACGCGAGTCTGGAGCTAAGGTGCATCATGCTAATATTCAGGCATCAAAGGTGAACTCTGTTACTGATGATTAATCCCTCCGTAACTATTTATAAGCAAATTTGACTTTTTTTGCTACATTTGACAATTAATGTATCTAGTCCATATATAGACTAGATACATTAATTGTCAAATGTACCAAAAAAGTCAAATTTGCTTATAAATCGTTACGGAGGGAGTACTTTCGAAAACTTAGTAGTGCCTGCTATTGTTTCTTAATATTCATTGGTTGTTTTCTAATTTAATGTGGGTGTTGATGAATGTAGGCTGTTGCTGATATAATTCGTACAACCTTGGGACCCAGGTCCATGCTAAAGATGCTTCTTGATGCTTCTGGAGGTTAGTGTTTTCATTTCTGAAATCAACTTATAGCTTGGTAAGGACTATTGTCAATTGCCGTTTGCAGTAGTCATTCACAGATGGCAAATATTTTCTTATTTGTATGATTAGTGTGTGAGATGAGGTGTACATGGTTTTTTGCTGATTGCAAGCAGTGGTACTTTTGGTTACAGTTTTTGTAAGAATTTTGAACTATTTGTGTTTTTTTAACATGATATTTAAGTTTTAGGTTCTGATTTGAGTATGAATTGTTAATGAAATAGTATTTATGATACAGGTTTAGTTTTATGTCTGGTGTTTCCAAGTACTTAAAACACCTATTTTCTGCCCTATAAACTATAACAGGAATTGTGGTGACAAATGATGGAAATGCTATCTTACGTGAATTGGACATTGCTCACCCAGCTGCTAAGGTACTTGTCTCTCATGCTTCATTTCATTGAGGTCGCCATATAGTGCATTCTTGACCACGTCTTGTGAATACCCAACTTTCTTGTTTGCATTGAATTTTATTTATAGGCTTAGTTTCTCTTCGTTTTATACTTTCTGATATTGTTGGCTTATTTGGATGAGTACAGTCAATGATTGAATTAAGTCGCACCCAAGACGAAGAAGTAGGAGATGGAACCACATCTGTCATCATCCTTGGTATGTTATTTGCATTCATATTTATGTGGGCGCATGTATGTTTATATTTGATATATTTTTAATAATTTGTATGTTTATATTTGATATATTTTTAATAATTGATTATCTATTATATATAATTAGGCTTATTCTGAAATTCCTTTTTATTGCAAGATTGGAATGCTTTGTTCACATAGCAAAAATAATAATAGAAAACGCAACCAACAAATTTTCCATTAGATGGGGACTACACTAATTAATCAATGCTATAAAGTCCTGTCCTGCATTAGCTTTAAGATAAGACAGACAATTTTCCTATGAATCTTTATTAATAGTTGACTAGCTGCATGCTTTCAAACTTTTGCTGCTTGTACAATAGAATTCATCTGTATCACTAAACTTGCATATTATTTACTATGTTATTTTTACTTGAGCGAAAATCACGTGTCTCCATTATTTGAAACTTTTTGTCCATCTCTTCTCTCGACTCCCTAAGACTATTAATATACTCTCTCTGGTTATTATTATAAGCAAAAAAAAAGTGACATTAAATCTTGGTCACTATTATAAGCAAAAATCACTAACTTTTGAACTAATCAGTTGCTTGTATGACCAGTAAACCCTTGAATTAATTCAAAAGCATTTAATGTTCGTAGTTGATTCATCAAAATATCACTAAGGATATAATAGTAAATTTTACTTTGATTGTTCATGAAATCTAGAAAGTTAATTGCACTTGACTAACTTTTTAAATCTGTGTGAAATTAGTTATTTTTGCTTATAATTGTGACCGGAGAGAGTATCACTTGTGTTGGGTCTATTGCTTTTCTTGCTCTTCCCCAACCTTAGTGTTTGCTGTACTCCACTTGATCTTCGTAGGAAGTTATAGCTTCCAAATCAATTTTTGGTTATATTGTTTATTTTCTTACCGTGTTCACTCACTCTTTTCTAAAGCGGCCTAGTTACTCATGAGTTTAATCCCTCTATAATTTGCACTTTTGTTTCATTTATTGCTCTTAAAGATAAAGATGATTAAATACTTCTACTTTCATTTCTATACTCTTAAATTTCATAATCTTACTATTTTGAACTGTTGTCTCGTGTCTTTCTATTTGAGATCTTTTCATACCTCTATTGGTAAATTATTTGAGTCAGTTTTCTAATCTCTTCAATGTCTCTTTTACATCATATTCTCCTATAGCTGGTGTAGTTTTGATTCTCCTCTCTGGTATTTGAGTTATTTTTCGCATTATTGCGTAACAAACTGTAGAGTTTGTTTGCTGTATCATGTACTGAATTGGGGATTAGTTTTTCCTTGATTTATTGCAATTTATTTCTCATCTACAATATCTTGCCCATATTTGTGCAGCTGGTGAGATGCTCCATGTTGCCGAAGCATTCATTGACAAAAACTACCACCCTACAGTTATTTGCCGAGGTAATGTAATAGTATTAATCAGGGGTTATTTTGTACAGTATAAAATTGTGTATAATGACTGATACAACTTTGTAATTTGCAGCATATAACAAAGCTTTGGAGGATGCTATTGCTGCCATTGACAAAATTGCAGTGCCTATTGATGTCCAGGACCGTAAGTTTTATTATTCTTTTCAAGATTGGTACTTCTTTCTTACAATATCCTCCCAGTAATTTACAAACTTTCAGTGAGCTAAACCCTGTCAATCCTGTATTCCATTTTGCGTGGAGGAGAAACCTGAAATAGATTGTCCAAATAGTTTAAGTTGGGTAGTAATATTGTGATTCTGTTTGCTTTGAAAGCTCCTAGTAGTCTTCAGTAATTAGTAAGAACAGTACATCACCGATTCATTGAATTTCTTGGTTTATAATTCCAATGCTGCTGAATTAAATTTCAGGAGGTCAAATGCTGGGGATTGTCAAAAGCTGCATAGGCACCAAATTCACAAGTCAATTTGGGGATTTGATTGCTGTGAGTATATTTCCATTGGCTAGATTTCCAAATGATATTCTTCTTTGCTCTTTTATATTTTCAAATATTTGAGTTTAATTTGGCAATGGTTATTTTTGAAATGCCCAGTGAAGGACTTTAATGTGTCCAACAGAGAGAGGGTAGCTTTAGCAACTTAGGAAATTATAAAAGATGTCATATACAGTGTTCGTAAACCAAATAATTTTAATTTTCTATGAAAGCAAAATTGATGTTTTTTCATTAATCCAATGTAATTGGTTATTATTCATGTGATGGTTATTGACATCTAGATGTGTTCAAGTTATCTTCATTTAGTTAGGTAGGCCTGTGTAGTTAGGGAGGCAACATATCTAAGAACATATATTGCTCTGATATGGTTTTATCCTTGATCAATTTAATTGCTTTATATGCCAACCTAGCAGATAGTGTTTTACTAATCTCATTATTTCCTCTCTTGTTCTTCGGTTGTATTTGTTTTTGTTGGAGTGAACATGACTAAAATTTGACGTTACTATAAGTGCAGATGGTTATTATAGCCCTAAACAATTGCCAGACACTTTTTGATCGATTGAATTGTGTTTTAATTGTTTTACTTTGGCTACTCCAGGATTTAGCTATTGATGCTACTACAACAGTGGGTGTTGATATTGGCCAAGGTTTAAGAGATGTAGATATTAAAAATTATATCAAGGTTGAGAAGGTCCCTGGCGCTGAACTTGAGGAATCGAGGGTTCTCAAGGGAGTTATGATAAACAAAGATGTGGTTTCCCCTGGCAAGATGAGGAGAAAGATTGTTAACCCACGTATCATTCTCCTTGATTGTCCTCTAGAGTATAAAAAGGGTGAAAATCAAACAAATGCTGAACTGCTTAGAGAAGAAGACTGGAGTCTGTTATTGAAGTTGGAGGAAGAATACATTGCGGAGCTCTGCGCGCAGATATTGAAGTTCAAACCAGACTTGGTAGTAACAGAGAAGGGTCTCAGTGATTTGGCATGCCATTATCTGAGCAAGAATGGAGTGAGTGCAATCAGAAGACTGAGGAAAACAGATAATAATCGAATTGCCAAGGCAAGCGGTGCTGTTATTGTGAACAGACCAGATGAATTGCAGGAGTCTGATGTTGGTACTGGTGCAGGATTATTTGAAGTTAAGAAAATTGGAGATGAGTACTTTGCTTTTATTGTTGATTGCCAAGAACCCAAAGCTTGTACTGTATTATTACGAGGTCCTACTAAGGATTTCTTAAATGAGGTTGAAAGAAACCTACAGGTAATTCATTGATATTTATTTACTAAAGACCAGTGACATTTGATCATACTGCTTCCTGAAACTTTTTTCTATGCCAGGATGCTATGTCTGTTGCTCGGAACATAATAAAAAATCCAAAACTTGTTCCTGGAGGTGGTGCCACAGAGATGACTGTGTCAGCTGCTTTGAAACAGAAGAGTTCTTCTATTGAAGGAATAGAGAAGGTGAGTGTATTTCAATGTTGTTTCAGTGAACTAGTGGTACTCATTCATATTTGGCGGGTTCTAGTTATCTTGTGTTGAGCAGCAGTTTACTCTGGTTCTCACTTTTGATTCTTGTTGACTAACAGTGGCCATATGAAGCAGCTGCCATTGCATTTGAATCTATTCCACGTACTTTGGCACAAAATTGTGGAGTAAATGTCATCCGGACAATGACTGCACTACAAGGAAAAGTAAGAATAGTTTGCTAGTATTCTAATTCTATACGTTCCTTTCTCTGAAGCCTGATCTTTGTTTAATTTGTGTTTTTTTTTGAAAATTATAGCATGCAAATGTAGAAAATGCATGGTTTGGTATAGATGGAAATACTGGTGCCATCGTTGACATGAAAGAGCACAAGGTACTTTATTATCTTATTTTTGGAGTTCGCATGTTGTAAATGATATCCAAAAGTATCCACTGTTATTTTGCCGACAAAAGTTGGTCACATTTAAATTAGATCCAATGTTTTCAATTTATTTCTTAGAGAGACAGTGAAGAAATTCATGTTTATTTGCAAGTGGAATACTTTTTCATTTTATAATCTAATTTGAAGAAATCCATTTACATATTTTTTCGTATTTCAATTTATGGGCACAAGCTTTGTTGTCTTGTTAGTGTAATGTCAGCAATTGAATTCTAAATGTTATATATTGTATTATGGTGCTAGATCTTGGATGCCTATAATGTGAAGGCACAAACATTCAAGACTGCTATTGAAGCTGCGTGCATGCTTTTGAGGATTGATGATATAGTGAGTGGGATCAAGAAGACGCAAGCCCCTGGAGCAGGCCCGAAGCCTAAGATTGAGACAGAGGGAGATGCCGATGGCGAGCAAATTCTTCCTGATTAAAAAAAACCCAGTTCTCCTGACTGTTTTTTGACAGAGTTGAAAACTGCTAGGTTCTTGTTCATCTTTAAACTATTATGTTTATTCTTAAGAAAGTTTTGGTCCCTTGATCTTGGTGGTGTTTTGTATTTTGTACTGCTTGATAAAGCAAATTGTGAACTGTTTTGTCTAGTGTTCTCAGTTCGTTGTTGAGTTTGTGCTAGGTTGAAATTTGTTGTTTTCACTCCATTTTCAAAGCTGATTTCCCCCACCCCACCCCCACCAAGTTTCAGAACTTACATACTGTCTCTGGTTCGATTCTAACTCAGCTTTCCTAACCGGCCAACACCTTTCTGTGAGATTTTCACTAGAGGGAGTTATGCAAAAAATCCTAGCCCTTCAATTATTTTTTAATTAATATATTTTATGTATTTGAAACAAAATTTATTGAGCTCAAAATGAATTATTACAATGAGGTTTTTAATTGATATAACTAATTAAACTAGTCCATTACAACTTCCTAGCTCGCTAATTCCAATTTTACAAGCCACGATACCTTCAACACTCTATGTTTAGAATTTAGAATAGAAGAAATGAAAAGTGCTATGGTGAGTTGGTAGCTGGACAACAAGGGAAGTTGAAGGATTGTTGAGTTTGTTGCTAAGAAAATAAGTGGCGAGTGGAATGACTGATGCAAGTTTGTTTACTTCATGTGCTGAATTAACAAATTAGAAATGTGTTGGTTGGCCTTAAACTATACATGCTAGTCGCATCTTGAATGGAAACAAAATTGAATCCAATTAATATTATTGTATTTTTAATCTATTTTAGAGGCTTGAATTGTGGCAAGAGCCTTTCAATAAATCTCAAGAATCAGCTAGTTATTTAAACAAACAGTAACATTATGTTTGGATATTTTAAAATGAAAATATATTACTTCATCTCCCTCTATTTTATGGAAATAAAATAAGTGAACAGTGATAGAACAAAATTGGTACAATTATAATGGAAGTATCCAAATTTTGAGATGACTGTAACGTAAGTATTTGAACTAGACGGGTTCCATATCATTTAAAATCAGTGGAATATTCGTGCCGCATGAGTATTAGTGTGTTGTGTTGCAATGTCATCATTTTTTATGATTATTAAAAAAAATTAATTGAATGTATAATTAATTGAAAAATATTTTGATCAGTAATTTCATATTTCCGTTAATATTTAATATTTTGATCAGTAACTTTATGTTCCTGTTAATATTCAATATTTTGATCATTAACTTCATATTTCCGTTAATATTCAATATTTTGATCATTAACATCATATTTTCGTTAATATTCAATATTTTGAAAATTACGGTTGAAAACAAATTATATTTCATTTCACTTCTATCTATTTTTTTTATATTTGGCTAAAATCATGAAAGTAAATTAACATGAAATATTTAACTCTATTACTATAATAATATTAATAACAATAATAATTAAATTAGTTTTTTATTAATATATAGTAGAACAGATGGCTGAAATTAGTAGAATTAACTTGTAATTAAATTATAATATTATAATAATTACATTAATACATTAAAGATTTTTTATTATAAAAAAATTATGCAAAAAAAAAAAATGTAAATATTCATTATTAAAAATAAATGTGAGATTATAGTAAAAATTGTTATAAATAGCATGACTATGGATGTCTATTAATTGAGAGATTACATATTGATTTTTCATTTATTATATATGTCCTATAAGTAAGATTCATACTGTATTTAAAACATTGACTTAGAATGGTATATTCTATTCTCTTCTTCTCTTTCTCTTTTCAATTGTTTTATTCAATTTCATAACACAAATCTTAACGTGTTGTAAGGTAATATTATTTTTTCTTCTTTTTATAATATATATTTTCTATCTGTTATTTATAATATATTGATTAAAAAAAAAAAAAAGAAAATTAATGATGATTATCAAACATTCCTGAAAGATAAAAAAATAATATTATATAGTTTATGAAAAATTTATAAGCATAGTATTAACGATCTCAGAAGGATTGCATCTATAATATTAATGTATCTCATAAGGATTGTATCTATAATATTAATGAATCTCAAAAATACCTATAATATTAATAAATTTTAAAAGAATTACATCTATAATATTAATGAATTCGAAAAGAATTATATCAATTATGTTAAAGATTAGCAAAATAATTGCATCAATTATATTATCTAATTCGAGAAAGATTGAAAGATTAATATTGAATACCGATTTCATAAATTTTTTTTTTGTTATATCAACGCATTTCAGAAGGATGGTTATAATTTTTAGATTATTTTTTATAATAAATAATTTTAAACCATCCCAGAAAGATGATTATATTTTTTAGATCATTGTTTATAAAAAATAATTTTAACGCATTCCAATAGTATGATTATATTTATTTTAGATTATTGTTTATAAATATTTATATTATTCTAAATTTTTTTCTTCAACTAGAAACTTCTTTAAATTGTTAGAATATAATTTATTACATGTTTGAGATGATAAATCTATTTATGTAATCCAACCGTTCTAAAATATAAGAGAAAAAAATCACTTATTAAGAAAAATAAAAATATAATAATTTGACGTAGTTTTTATTGAAAAAAAATGAATAGAAAGATGTAAAAAAAATTCTAATTGTTTGTTGGTTATAGAAAAGATGAGATAGAATGTAAATTAAATGTAATTTGCATTTAATTTTACATTGAAAAGAATGAAATTTAAATTTCTCTCTTATATTTTGGGACAACAAAAATGCATTTTTCTCTCTTATATTTTAGGACGGAGTTCAATGTTATGTATTTTATTGCTGCTGTTAAATTTCTAAATTAAGAATTTTTTTTTTAAATATTAAGGTGTGTTTGATATTTTAAGATAGTTTTTATATTGCTTAATTATATTTTATTTTTATGATAAAATAAAATTGAATTGCATAAAGTATTTTGTCTAAATGTGTGTGACCTGAATAATACTATTATGAAATAATTTAGATTTAATTAAATCATATAAAAACATATATGCATGGTTTATGAAGATTTATTTATTAGAGAATATATATATATATATATATATATATATATATATATATATATATATATATATATATATATATATATATATATATATATATATATATATATATATATATATATATATATATATATATATATATATATATATATATATATATATATATATATATATATATATATATATTATTGTAAATTAGAAGTTTACAAATCACAATGTGTTGTTGATAAAATTGGCTGGGTCATCTCGAATGTATTATGATGTAAAAATTAATATTGAAGAACCCGAAGTTTCTTCAATTCAATAAGTTTTTGTATGTTACTAATGGAAATCAAAATTTTATAAATTGAATTTTTATATAACATATGTAAGGTGATATTTGTGAATCAATACACCAATTATATAGACGATTTAAATATGTTACGATATTAATTATTGTATCGACTAAAAGATAATGCATATGTTTGTTTTCTACTCACAATCAGAAGTTGTGAAATTGTTTTCTCTAAAAGACCATGAATATGTATTATGATGTGAAAACTAGTATTGAAGAACCATAAGTTTCTTTAATCCAATAAATGGTGTCTTTCTAAATAAAAATAAAATACTAATAAATTGAATTTTTCATGACATTAATTATTGTGTCGACTAAAATATCATGCAAATATTTATTGTCTACTCACAACCACAAGTTGGTGAAGTTGTTTTCTTATACTAAGATCTCAATTTTTGAAAATTTTAAAATTTTCTTGATAAGTATCACATATATTATTAAATTTGACATTGAACATCTTATAGCATATGTTCATAAAAAAATAGATTTGAAGATCCATTCTTTAGACGTCTAAAGTTAATGACATGGCCGATACTTATGAGATCATAGGTTATATATTATACATTGGAAACACACAATCATGAATATTCATATATTTATTCGCATTAAGACAACAAGTTATTATATGTTAATCCTCCCATTAACTTACAAATTATTTTAGGTTAATAACCTAATACTTCTCATCTAAGTAAATTTTTGGATGTGTTGTGTATAATTCAATTGTTTTAATATAATACACTAAGATGAGTTTTGAAAGAATGTTGAGAAAATTCATTTTATATGAATATTGTATTTGAGGTTTATCTTGGTCCGATAATTAGATATGTGCTTGAAGTCTAGTAGGCTGATTATCAATTGACAAATTATTTTTCTCAACATTAGGGGGAGAAAATAAGCAACTCAAAGTGTGAACCAGAAGTTCAAATGAACAATTTGAAATAAAATATTATTATATTATTTGATCCTCGAAGTTCAAAATACAATTCATTTGTAAAGTCTGTGAAATAAATTATCAGCTACTAATAATCCACTCAAAATGTATTTTTCTATAGGACAATCTAATATTGTAAATGAGTTGTAGCCGCGCCTGAAGGGTGGTAGAAAAGTCAGTTCCAATGTTAAAAGTCCTATACCAAGATAAGAAACTAAAGTTAAAGATGATCCAAGTGAAGATATGAAAATTCTAAGAGAACTTTGACATAATTTATTTTTCAGCTCCAGAAGAACTAATCAAATACTTGAAATATGAAATAAAGAGATCTCGATAGATTATGTCATGGATGAAATAGAATGAAACCAAAATTAAGATAACCAAATAAAGTCGATATTGGCAATATATTTGTATACAATATATTGCTAAAGGTGATAAACAATAACGAGGATCATGAAACAAAGTCTACCAAAGATTATTGACAAAGTGAAAATTGATCAAAATGAATAAATCATGAATCAAAGTCTATCAAAGATTATAGACCAAGTGAGAATTGACCAAAATGAACAAATCATGAATCAAAGTCTATCAAAGATTATAGCAAAGTGAGAATCGGTCAAAATAAACAGATTCAATTGAAGAATAACTAAACTCACTTTAAAAGTGGATCGTTTTTGGACCTTTATTC